TGTCGCTGATGGGGTACTGCTATTTTTCTTCTAATTTAGATGCGCGGAAGAAAAGTCGGAACTACGGTGACCGGGATTCGAACTCGGGTCCCGAACGTTCGTAACCTAAGGCGCTAACCACTGCGCTGCCGTCGTCCGGTGCTAATTAGTGGCGGTATTTGTTGTCGAGTGCCGCCACAGTGGTGATGACAAAATCTGCAACCACTTAGTTGCCAACACAATAGTTCTGTATACATTTCTTTTTTTCACAACATGTCTTGTTCGATATTTCGTGATCTTTTTTCATCACTCGCCGTCTCCTATCAGATTTTCTATCAGATGTCAATCCTCGATAGGATAATTGAAAAGTTCGTCTCGTTTTCACTACCAAATTGCCAGTTGAAGACACGCGTTTCCTATCATAAAATGCTAAAACGAATAAGGGTCGTAAAACGAAAATTCCGACTGCTTTTTTTTTTTTTTAATAGGAAATTTCTTCATCGGTATTTTTGGAATATGCAATATCGGTAGCTTCGGCGTCCAAAATACCGCGTGTTATAACGAAGTTGTAACGCGTTACGCGAAGTTTCTGTTCTGTCTATTTCTGAACTGTTTGCAGTGTGCGCGCGTAAAACGTACAGACAGCCAAGAAATTTCTTCGCAGGAAGAAGAGGCGCGAAAAACGTGGCTTACGAGCCTCGACTCGTGTTTTACGTCACGATACAAATATGTTAAGGCAGGTCTTATTGGGTTGGCAACTAAGTGACTGCGGATTTTGTCATTAGGTGGTAATGTAAAAATCCGCAGTCACTTAGTTGCCAAGCCAATATGTAAACCTTGAAATTTATGACTATTTCAGATTTTTCAATAAATTGTTATCACTATATTTCTAACGAAGTTTACTGGACGTTGTAACATTTTTCAAACGAACTTGTGTTCCCGGTATTTTTGTTTTTAACAATACGTTCCGCTCTATAATTTGCACTGAATAAAATACTCGGAATTGCTATGACGTAGGTCAGCCCTGCTGCATCGATCAACCGCACTAAGCAATGGAACTTTTTATCCTCATATCCTGATTATTTCTATTAACCTGCAACGTTCTAAAATAAATATAAATTCCTCCATAGCACCATGTCAACTTTATACTTGTCGTTTACCAAGGGATTTCAATTTGGCTGACATAGCTGGCCAGGACCTACCTTAAGAAGACGTAAGTTTCCAATGAAATCCAATCTTATCTCGTCGATATTTAATCTAATCGAGTTGATCAGCTCGATAATTCGTGCGTAAAGACCCAACTGTCACGCTTCAGTAACTTTACCAACGGCACTTCCCGTTTCGATATTTTATGAGTGGATGATACACGACAGTTTATCTCTGGGAATAGCGCATTAGTCATTGTCAGTGGGGATTATCATCGAAACGCCAGCGCCGATAAAAAGGAAACTTAGTGACGGAACATTAATAAAATCGATTCGTTTCGAGAATTTCAAACCGAGTATTAACATCGCTTCTCCCCTCCCCTGCCCTCCTCCTAGTTTCTTTTTTTTCGCTATAGAATACGAGTATATCGATCGTACGTAATTAATCATCCCGGGGCGAAAAACGAATCGTTATTTTAGAAATTCTGACACGCGAATCGTGTCGTTCGATTGAAATAACCGACGACGCCGATTCTAATGTTGATTTATGACGATTTTTATTAGCATATCAGCTGTCCAACAGTTGTTTTGTCATAGTTCACCTCATAGTTCAACATTTGATTTATCGTTTTGTGTTATACCGTTAAGCGCACGAATGAATAATTCAAATATCTTTTTTCTTTTTTTTTTTTGAGCTTTAAGAAGTTCGATCATAAAACGAAATGATTTGCCCGCTCCTCTCTGTGATTACTCTGTGGCTTGCACGTTGCCATTGGAAACGACATTTCGTTTAGCGAGGTTGCAACATAACCTCAAAAATATAATCGATTTATAAACGTCAATAATGGCAAGAGGCAATGTGCATGTCTGACATTGTGTTATTTATGAATTCGAACGATGAAGAAACGCTAAAATAACGCATTCAGATCGATTTGTGTATAGAGTATATAATTCATAACCTATATCGTATGCGAAATGTTTACTACAAGTTTATTAAAGGTATCCTTATTCGAAGGAGGAATAATTAGTGTATTAGCGTCAGTATTTTATTATTATTAAATTGCAATTTATAATTTGCGTGAAATACCAAAATTTTCTTAAAAATAGGAGGACGAAATTAGTACTAGTATTTTATTAAACCCATACGTACAATTCAAAATTCATAATCTACATCAGATGTATGTCATTAGTGTATTAGTATCAGTGTTTTTTATTTAATGCGATTGAGAATTCATAATCTATAGAAGAAAGCAAATTTTTATTCAAATTAGGAAGATACAACAGCTGATATGAAATTATAGAACAGCATTACGTGTTCAATCGCTACTAATATATTTTCCTTTCTTCTCAATCACACAGTCGTATTTCCTCACATTTTGTATCTGTTTTATTTTCAAACAACATTCCAATAAACCTTAGTTCAGTGAAAAATATAGATCCGTACTAAACTACACGTTTTTTTCGCTATTTTCATAGAAGATACATTATTTCTTGAACATCCTGTAGAAAAACAAATCAAAGTCGATGCGAATTTTGGAAATTCGCTGTGACGGGTAGTTCGCCAGTTTCCTGTGTTTTTTCGCGATCCATTCGTCAACCAAACCGTGAAAGTGGTCTCGTTTTCCGGAAGTCACGTTCCAAGCGGTCGCCCGACGCGAAATCCCCAGATAGAGGGCAGCACGATAGCTATAGAATCGAATTTACCTATGAAACTGAAACTGTGGAACGTGTAATTACGGAGAAACCGTGATGCAGAAAATTGGATCAATAATAATAATAACAATAGTAATGCAACGACGGCAATAACGACAATAATAGTAACAACAATTAGAGCCGGATTTATTAAATTCATTTTGTGCACCACTATTACGTGGTTATTTCTCATTTCATTGTTTGATTAATTTGTATCTCAGCTATTATGATCATCAGTGTCAATGCAAATTTCTATCGAAATTTTGGCTTATTGCATAAACGACTCACAGGGTTATTTGTTCCACTAGTCTTTTGACGATTTTTACAATCGTTTACATGATAATTAATTAATTTAAAAAAAAAAGAAAAATAGTACGTCGTTAATTATTTTATTTATCGTTTGATTTTTTATCTAGTAACTTTATCATTTCACTGAATTTGCAGCTGTCGATAAAAAGATTTGAAAAAAGCAACGAAACGGGTAACAGTGTACTGTTGTTTGAGAAACATTGATGATGTTACGAAAATGTTTGCGATGAAAAATTATGCGAGAGACATAGTTGTACTTTCTCTTTTTAATAGAAGAATAATCATAGTCATTCGTTTAGAAAATTACAAGAATTATAACAATCGGTTTCTTTGTTCTTCGAATGGAAATAATTTACAGATTCAACGTGTTTCTAACTCTGAAATGAATTTATTTGGCATATTTTTCTATACAAGTAAAAGCCATGAATTTTCTTTATTTTTACATGAAAATAATTAATTGGTCTGCTTTAATTGCTGTTAAGAAAAAACATGTCCGTTTGTTAGTTCGTGGAAAATTTATTTAAATGGTCGCATCGTTGGTGAAAAATAGTTATTTTCGTATTTCATGCGGCTTGATTTGAAATCTAGTGGAAGACGTCGCATTGTGGTTAAAATTCCAGCGACGTTCGCGCTATCTGGCGTCGGGGAATCCATTTCCGGTCTTCAAAGGAGCAGGGAAAGATTAAAAGTCAATTGTGATTTCTTCTTCTCAGGGAATTCTTTTACGGACAGTGAAACGAAGCTGAAACGACGTTGAAAATTCATGAATCAGAAATTATACTTTTTATGAAGTCGTGTTTTCTTCAGATCCAGAAAAATGATCTAATTACTTCTTTTCACGGACCAATCCAATCTGCAATTTCCTTATCGTTTCGGAGCTTTGTCTTATTCAAATTGGGAAATTAACTGGAAAATTGGAAGATTTCAACTTTTTTTTAATTTATTTGAAAATATCAAAATGGTTGAGAATCTTTCAATTTTTAAGATTGCACAATTCCAAATTTCCGAAATTTTGCAATTTCAAGTATTTCAAACTCAAACGGTTCGTACCTTCTCGCAACTTTTCGATTGCACAGAATTTAGAAATTACATAATTCGGGGAACTCGCCTCTCACAGATCTCGAGTCTTCGAAGCTACAAAATCTTAATCTTCCAACAGTTGGAAAATTCCCACCATATTTTGCAAATCCGAGAAACTAAAAATTCCAAAATTCCCCGGGAGCCTGATACGTCGAAAAATCCCCAGAAACGTAACGTTACAAAATTTCCCAGCAACCGTGTCTTGCAAAGTCTAGTAACTTGACGCTCATTTCTCACGTTTTATCGAACAGTCATAAATCGCTGTGAGAAGAAATTGCCAAAGTAGCCAAAGGGGCAAAAGGCCATGAATCAAGCGAAACGTCGAATAATTTCGGTAGGACAAATCTGCATTGTAGATCGGCTGTTTAATAATTCGAGGCAAGTGTTTGGTAATAAGGTTTGGCTGGTGTTGGGAATGGCGCTACATTCATGACGGTGCAAGGCTTTAGCCCCAGGGGATCCCCCGTGAGCCGTGGCCCGTGGAATGTGGCTAAACACGTCTTGGCTCACGGCCAATCTCGTTTCATCCCCTGCAGCTGTCGCTGCCACTTATCATTTCTTATCTTCGCCAGGTCAAAAGTCACTCGGTACAACGAGATCTTTAGTTGAAACGCATTTTCACACGATTTAAGAATGATCTACTCTACTGTTTAAAGTTCACACTATATTTGAAATTAGGCAGTCACGAAAACTACCGTAACACGATTTTCCTACCGATTCGAAGAATTACGAGGTTAGAAATTTTCGAATTTATGGAATTTCGAGTGGATTAAATTAGAAAAGTAGTCGATAGGATTTGACTGTTTTAATTTAGTGTTATTCCAATCTATTTCTGCATTGTACAAATTTGTCTTTTTAAATCGCAAGGTTTTAACATCGACGATCTACAGTTGCGAAACTTTAGGTTTGCGAATGTTTAAGATTGTACGACTTGAAATGAATAATAATTCAAAAAGTTTGTTAATATATTTAAATTGAAACTATGTGTTATATATTTTATTGTAATTTATTTGGTTGACCGATTCGGTGGATATAAAGAAATTTATCTAAAATTTTTCTGTGGTATACGGAAGGGCTTCCTAAGCTTTCCTTTATGATCATAGTACATCGGCGTTCTTCGCGGTGGGTCGATTATGGTCCTTTTGCTCCGGTGCCCCCGCCGCTCTCCGTTCTCGTTTTCTTCGACATTAGAAAATTCGTCATCAGAACATTCTTTATCGTTAGAATCCACTTCGTCGTTAGAATCCACTTCGTCAACTGAACATTCCTTGTCGTTAATATACTCTTCGTCGTTATCACATTTCTTATCGTCAGCACATTCTTCGAACACTTCGTTCTTGTTATCCCCCATCGTAGCTGTAATAATTTGTATTGTAAATATTTCTTTGTCATGTACAGATATAATAAATTTGAAAAAAAAGAAATGAAAGAAAAAGGAAAAGGCTGAATGTTTCAAAGTGAATTACATATTCACAGTTATATTTTTCTTGTTTGCAAGTGCAAAAATGCGTGTGTATTTTCTTAATAAAAAATTCCTTTCTTCCCCCTTTCTCTTTGCATACATCGAATTCTATGGAAAATGGTAGTATTAGTGTATCACGATCGAAAATTGATTAAAAATAGCATAGAAAATAGCAGAAGTTTCTTTTTTATGTTTGGTTTCAGTAAAGTCCCAGTTAAATTGAAGTTATACTCGTATCTCGTTAAGCAAATACTTATCAGAGTATCGTTGAACTAAATAAATTATGCGTGTATTTAGGTTAGGTTTGGGTTAGGTTGAGGTTAGTTTGGTTATACGTTAACAAGCCGTACATAGAAATAACAGGCTCAAAGGTTCGAATATACACGCAGAACTGTCCACTTAATAAATATTCCCAGTCTACGACTGGAATTAATTAAACCCATAGCGAAATTCTAACCTCCTGGAACTTTTCCTGATCTCGTAAATGCTGTTCCTTTTACAACTCCTTCTCCTAACCTCATTAACGGGCAATAAAATAAATGAAAATTGTATGTGAAAAATTGAGGAATTTTAATATGAAATTATTGCATCGAAAGTGTAGAATTGAATTACATTAATTTTCAAAAAAAAAAAAAGTTTTCGATTTTATAATAATACAATGGTTTAGGAATGATGATAAAATTGTTTCACAATTTTGTACAATTTTAATTGTATGGAAGAAAAAGTTTCTTAAAATGTTAAGCGGCAGAATTCAATCGTGTAAACTGGTTAGAAAAAGAAAAGAAGAAAATAAAAGAAAAAGGGAGAGAAAGAAAGGAAATGAAGAGAATTCGCGAATGAAATATGAAGTATTTGCAAAACGTTGGCTTTTAATAGTTTAATTAAACTCACCGAAACTCGTAACTTTTCTACCACTCTTTGCGGTTCGCTTTCACAAGATTCCTACTTTGTGACGCTCTTCCGTTCGCAACGTCTTCTTTAGTACTAGCCGAAGAACGCGCGTTTTTCGCCGTATGTATCTTTTCATCTATCTTTATCTCTCTCGTCTCCTTTTCCTCACGCTCTTAATCGGACTGACGTGGTCCAAACATTTTTCCCATGTAAACATTGTACTAACAACCAATATTAGGTACATCCAAACACTGTAATACATACATTTAGATACATTCAGATATAAATCGTAACATATGTACTTTCTGGAATGTTGATATGAAAGATATAAAAGATATGGGCAAGATATGAATATAAAAATAAACATAAACATAAAAATAAAAGATAGGGACAAATATATAGAAATATACAAAAACACAAATACAAATACACGAAGGTATACATTCGACGGTCAAACTATTAGATGGAAAATATTAAATTGTTTAATTTACGTTTGTTACAATATTAAATTATTTTTTGTCTAAAGTTTGCAGACTAATTGATCGGAATTGAGAATTTAAGTTTGCGACGGATTTCCTGGAATATTAGTAACATTTCATTAAACTTCAAACGTCTTCCGTTTGCTATCGTAGATTTGGAAAATATATAGTGGATGAGTAAATATATAATGGGCGAGGAAATGTACAGTGCGAATGATCGTTCGTCTGAAATTTGAGAAAGAACGAAAATGAAAATTTTGGTGGAAATGGAAAGTTGCGTTTGAGTTGAGTTGAGATTTGATAAATCGTAGTTCGTCAAATTATCGTTAATGCAAGAACGAATTTACAAAATATAACGCGAGCGATGAAAATGTAAGCTGAAGTCCGAAGGGGAATGAAATTGTGAATTTATTAAATCGCCACGCGAGTAGAAATTTAAAAAACACACAGTGTCTGATGAAATTATCGTGAGAGTTATTTTGGAATTATTTTTTGCTCAAAGTAGGAAGAAGCTCGTTACAACCGAATATCATTATCTGCGATCCACGATATTAAAATTCTACTTACTTACTTACTTACTTACTTACTTACTTACTTACTTACTTACTTACTTACTTAACTCATGATCCAATATAAAAACGAGTATTCCGTGGTATTCTCTGAATTAATTTAAATACAAATATTTTTGTTTGTGAATGTAATCGACGATTTAATCTTTTCCATGGGATTCACCGGTTCTTTTCTTGAAATCCACTTCTCGTTCTTCGTGTTTAAACTTTAAACTCTGAATCCAGTTTTCTTTCTGGGAAAGGCGAGCCACTTGCTCGATCAGACTGTTGTTCCGCGTGAATTAGGTTTCTCGAAAGTCGTTTCCTGGTATTGAATTGCAAAGTAATTCGACACGAACCAGGATCGCTGGAAATAAAGTGATTCTCAAATCTTTTTTGCTCGTCGAAAGATTCAGGTTTACCCGTTTCATCGTGTCGACAGGTACGGTTTATTTCGAGCATCTCCGTCATAGCTTCTTCTTATCGCGTTTTGATAACACAATTTTTCTTTATCTTTACACGTACATTAGTTCCTACGCGGTAAAACATGGCAGAATCGTTAGGTTATCGATTATGGGATGACCGTGTTCGTGAAAACGGAAAGGACAAAACTCGTAAAAATGTCAGAAAATTAACACACCTCACAGTTTCGAAATTTCATGTTTTAATGTGATCGACGAGATGAAATTTGAGAACGAGAGAAGAATATCATTTCTAATCATAATTTTTGCTTTGCTATGGTTTTGGCCAGCGACTAAAGTGGATTGGAAGGGGAAATAATGGTCATCTTTGGAGGATCCGGAACGAGAATATTTGTACAGATTCATTATTATTATTATTATTATTATTTTCTCGCTAGTATTTTGCATTATATATTGTTTTATAAACAGTATATTTTATACAATAAAATATACAAATCATTATATTATTTTAATGCTGTAAATCTGTAAAAAATTCCCTCCTCCAATCAATGATCGATCTATTCTATCGAAATTTTATCAATTTTCCGACAATACTTACATCGTCACAAGCTTTTTTGGAAGCTTCTAAGAATATCGTCCATCATATTGTAAGCGTATCTTTTTTTCGACAGCACAGATATCAACTGATTTCTGCCACAGACTGATCGATCGTTATGGGACGGGTCCGGTTTATCAGCGAGCCAACGAGTACGTCGAATTCCTATGACATCACGACATGTCTTTCGACACGCGTTGACCTTAATGATGCTGAAAATCGGATTTTAAATATGCCGTTTTTACGTCTGATCCCATTCACTGATCGTCCTAATTTCCAACCTCGTTTCCTTATCGAAATGACGTATATCAAATTTTCTGAACTTTTCGCTCACCGATACAGGTACTTCCGACAAAATTAATTTACATCTACGTATATTACGTGTTATTCGTATATCAGGTAGAATATTTCTGCAATTTTATATTTCTGTAAACGCAACCAAACGAATAAAAGCTAAATCAAAATTTGATTATGCAACGAGAGATATTTCAATATTTTTCGATAAATCTTGTCACTTCTGAATTATCCATAAATACATTTACGTTCTCATTTTAATAACAATTACTTGTAGGAAATGTTACGGCTGAAGATATTTCGATTGCTGATATTATTCATACACATTGGTCTCTCGTTCGACGAATATAAATAAATTCCGCGTGTATAAATGTGAAGTAGCAACCGGTATTAAACAATTTATACGCTATGAGTCTAAAATATTTCGTTTCCCACGGCCGATATCGGTTTCGGATTAACCTGTTAATTGAAACGACAAAGCTTCCGGTGAGTTCGTATTCATGCGATCGTTTCCATTGATTACACCGGAATCATTGATGAAAGAAAGACGAAAAGAAAAGGAATACGTACAGATCCGTGAAATAAAATGTAATAAAATATACAGCGTATGAGAATGGAAAAATCAATGTTTCGATAGTCTTCCAACTTTTTTCATCTATTATTGTTAAAAATCTGTAACATGCACTGTGTATTATTTTGCAAGAGCCAATGAATATGATGTATGCAACGGAGTATAACGAACGTGGAGCGTTACTTTTTAATTAAATTTACGAATCATTGCGATTAAATTTGTGCTTTGGAAATAAAATACGAACGAACGTTATAATTTAATCGGCAAAAAAGATTGGACATATTTTTCGTAATGGAATGTCCGAGGAAACAATTGTTTTTGATAACTAAACGACGTGATAAACGATAGAAGTTGAATATTAGGAAAAATCGCGCAAGACGAGAAGAAATATCGCAGGGGAGAATTGTTTATTTCGAAAGAGCAAATATTATGCGAGGGACGTCTTTTTTAGTTGATGGGGAAAAAGTCTCCGTTTTCGATAATATTTATCATATCGTATTTACCTTCGTAACAAATAACTTTTTCATGTTCAAATTACCAAACCTCGAATGGCAAAAATCACAAACTTTCAAATATCTCAAAATTACAGAATCACGTGGCACAAATAAATATTTTCATCTACTATCCGACAATCTTCTATTTTTTATCTACAATCGTAACTTAAACTCAACTAAATGGCCATACAATTTAGAGAAAGGACGAAAAATGGTTAATTCATAAATAGTAATTGAAATAATTTAAATATAAATATTTCTATCAGCCAATCCGATCGTCGATTGGAATTCACAGAATTAAAATTTTATTCCTTGGAATATCTCAGAATAACGCAATGGGTGCATTTAACTCAGCTTCGAAGACCTTTTGCCAGATTACAGATCGTATCGAGTCATTTCCATCCGGACGATAACCCGTTTAACGAGTTTGAACGCGTCTGTCTCTCTTCTTTCTTACTCTGAAAACAGGAAAGAAAAATCGTGTTTGTATCGTAATTAGATTTTCCAGCGATGCCTGATACGCCTATCATCCTATGAGGGATCATGTACCTACGTGCGTTTATCTGTTATTTTTCTCCTCGATTTCGTGTTTCCGTCGTTGTTAGCTTCGCGTTACGGTTCGAATTTCACATCTTCGCTCGAATTACGTTTGGCGAGTAGAAATTGAAAGCAACTTTCAATTGCAGAACAAACTTGGTTGATTAAGAGCCAGTTGCGTAGGTTCCGTGAACTATATTTGGTGGAGAAAGGTCGGGTGTTCTGTGAACGATGGTGCAATAGAAATGGAGATAACATTGGAGAAAGAAACCAGTTGAAAACGTACATTACAGATTTTTACACGAAGCTTTGTTCTTGAGAGAATCAGAAATTTACTTTAAATCTCTACGATACGCGCGTTGCGTAAAGTGGAACGTAATGGGAGAGACAGCGATTCCATAAGAAGAGACGAGTTGAAACTGTTGAGAATTGTGGATCTTAATCGCCGAAATAAACGTAAAGAAACACCAAGGTTACGCTTAGAATTCATATTAAAATAGTTTTAGATTTATTTAATAAAGGATGTCCAGGATCTTCGTCGATTACATTTGTACTTTCTTTGTCTCTCCATCTTCCATACCACATTCCCAACGGAATGGTTACATTCATCTGTTTTTCAAGACGCCGCGCACACACATACTATTGAGATATGTATAATTTTATGCGCTAGACTGGGTTGGATGTGTAGTAGAAATACTTGTATGTGAGTATCAGTGCGTGGAACAGATAAACGTAAACTGTTCAGTCGGTTGACAGTCGCAATGGAAGAAAGTGGTGAGACGCGTGCAAATGTGTATCCATGAATATCTTAGAAATCGCTCATCGAATAAATATATAATTATTCTAATATTAATCCCAAGTGTAAATTTAGTGTTCCTATACCATTATTTCGGCTATTAAGATCCACAATTCTCAACAGATACTTCCACTAACATTCACATATCTAGTCTAGCCAATCTAGTCTAGCACACAAAATTATACATCTGAATAGAAATACAGTTTGTCTGTACGGAGTTTTGCTTTCAAGAAAATTGAGTTGACGTTTTTGTGAGATAGGTACACTTGGCAACTAAGTGATTGCGAATTTTGTCATTACCACCAAATGACAAAATCCGCAATCAGTTAGTTGCCAACCCAATGTATCTGCGCTTCCTTATTTTCGTTTGCGCTCAAGCGACGTTGTGAAGATTTGCGTCAATCTTACCAGAGACAAATCGTTGTAGGAATAAATTTCATTCTGTATTTTCAATGTATTTTCCCATAGCAATTACTGACCTGCTCGTGTAAGCAGCCTACAGAACACGCAACATTGTTTCAACGTTAATCCGCATTTAACAATTAACAACCGTAACACGATATACGAAACAATTTTA